AGAGCTGAACAAGACTGGCTGATTCAAAACAGAATCCCTGAATTCAAATGGCCTCAAGCGTAAAGTGATAACAAGAGTATAAAAGAGGTTTTAACTCGGAACATGACAATAACAACTTGTTATTATCATTGTTATCTTTTGTTATCTTTTGTTATCTTTTTAATAGTCCTTTATCTAGCAAATTGAAAGTTCTAAAGAGCCTTATCTTCCATTTTTGCTTTACTTAAATTCATTAGGTGTCCATTTTCTTATCTTTACAGTGATACAACCATTTATGAGTAATTCCGATTTCAACAGACATGTCTGACTTTTGATTCCAAGTGTCTGGATGTCTAGACTAACATTAGGACATTCTCCCTTTAATGCTTAATGGAAATTTGTCGATCTATTATCAAAACCATTCATAACACCTTTAAAGAAATATATTTCAAAGAGATCTATTTCTGGAAATTATTCCGGTGCCAATCTCTATAATTGCAGGCAGTCCTATCTTGAGGTACCATCAAAAAGCCATCAATTAAGGATTCCTGATAATGAAAGCAAATTGGATTCCTTTGAGTCTTTGATAAGTTCCAAGAAAAATTTAATGAACTTTCCATTTTTCATTCTTGGACTGAAAATCATTTGTACTCTTCAATTGAGGACGGGGTGTAGTTCAGTCAATCAGATTGTTGGAATCTTTACATGATGTCATGTGATTGGTTAAAGTGAACAATGGTCAATGGTTCTAATCTCAGTCGACGTGTGAAAGTCTGTTGACCTTAAAGTCATCTTTCCTCATTATTCCAGTCCACCCAGCTGTAAATTGGAACAGATAATCTGGGAAAGATCAATTTCAAGAGGTTTGTCCAAGGACCAGCTGGTAGAAAGGATCCTTGTGAACCTAAGTTATCAACCTTGTTAAAAAACAATGATTCTTCCTTTCTTACATTTGCAAGTATATTTTTTAAACAAAAAATCCAGACATATTATGAATTAATTCAGACATGACTGGTAAAAAAATTCTGTTATTTTATTATGTAAAATAAATTCGGGACAAAATTTCAGACATATTAAGAATCCAGTCAAACGTGACCGGTAGAAAAAAAACTCCTGTTATGATATCATGTATTATAAATTAAGAAGGTGTTAAAACCAGACATTATCACTGTATTATCATGTAAAATTTGATATACGACTGGTAAAACACTACTAAATTTAGCTTACAGATAAACGGCCATTTAAAAATAGACTAATACCTGTTCACTAGAAGAGGAAAAGCACTTACATGAATAATCAAGATTACATGCACTTATATGAAAATGGAAAGGACCTTAGATATAACTGAGCACTTACATGGAATGGAAAAGACCCTTAGATATAACTGAGCACTTACATGAAAATGGAAAGGACCTTAGTTATAACTGAGCACTTATATATAAATGGAAAGGACCTTAGTTATAACTGGAGCACTTATATATAAATGGAAAGGACCTTAGTTATAACTGAGCACTTATATATAAATGGAAAGGACCTTAGATATAACTGGAGCACTTATATATAAATGGAAAGGACCTTAGTTATAACTGAGCACTTATATATAAATGGAAAGGACCTTAGATATAACTGGAGCACTTATATATAAATGGAAAGGACCTTAGTTATAACTGAGCACTTACATGATAATGGAAAGGACCTTAGTTATAACTGAGCACTTATATGAACATGGAAAGGACCTTAGTTATAATTTAGCACTTACATGAACATGGAAAAGACCCTTAGATATAACTGAGCACTTACATGGAATGGAAGGGACCTTAGATATAACTGGAGCACTTACATGAAAATGGAAAAGACCCTTAGATATAACTGAGCACTTACATGGAATGGAAGGGACCTTAGATATAACTGGAGCACTTACATGAAAATGGAAAGGACCTTAGATATAACTGGAGCACTTACATGAAAATGGAAAGGACCTTAGTTATAACTGGAGCACTTACGTGAAAAGGACCTTAAGGAACACTTACATCAGAAGGACTTTACAAAGGCACTTACATGAAAAATACCTGTACAAAGGCACTTAAATGTAAGATCTTTACAAAGGCACTTACTTTAGAAAGACTTTAATAAGGTACTTACATGAAAAAGACCCATACAAAGGCACTTACAATGAGGCACTTACATTAGACTTTACAAAGGACCTTTAGGAACACTTACATGAAAAATACCTATACAAATGCACTTACATTAGAAGGACTTTACAAAGGCAATTAAATGTAGGACCTTAAAAAAGCACTTACATGAAAAAGACCTACACAAATGCACTTACATTAGGAGGACTTTACAAATGCACTTAAATGTAGGACCTTAAAAAAGCACTTACATGAAAAAGACCTACACAAATGCACTTACATTAGGAGGACTTTACAAATGCACTTAAATGTAGGACCTTAAAAAAGCACTTACATTTCAAGGACAATTAATATATCACAATTTCTGAATTTTTCCCTTTAAAAAAAAATAATCGAAGCCTTAAAATAGAATTTTTTAGACATGCATTTTACAATAAAGTTGTGGTGTCTTCCTTAGATTTGGTAGGATAAGCATGCCTACGTTTTTAATATTAGACTCTCGTATCAAAATGTAAACACTTTTGTTTACATAATAATGATAAAGTGGCATGTTTTTATACGTTTACAAAGATAACCCTGGCAAGGTTTGTTTTCATAAGATACATTTTTTAGAGTGAAATCTCATTTTAAAGACTTGAAACTTAATAAGTGATATTTTCACATTTTATCAGAATGTGGAAAAACTTTTAAGTGTTTAATCCTCATAAATTTGGAAACAGAAATTCTAAATGTTTGAAAAAATTTGATTAAAGGCCTTAAATTTAACCAAAGTTTTCTGAGACTTTTTTGAAAAAATATTTATATTAATTAAAATTTTGGGTTTATTTTTGTAAAGTTTTGTAAAGTTATATTGATAAAGTGAACCACGGTAGTTTCAATTTTTATTTGAAAGGCTGACAAAATTAAAATTAGTAATTGCAGTTATTCAAATGATAATTGGTAATTATAAAAATCTGGCAGAGTAATTAGTCCAATTACCTTTTTTAATAAATCAAATCAAAATTCTCAAATAGAATTAAAAATGGTTTCACATAGTTATTTTGCAATTAATTCAACTCCAGGCACAGAACCGTGGCAGATGGCGCCAATAAAATCAGGAATTAAACTTTGGTAGAGCGTGTCCAAAATTTTTGTTTTATATCCTGTTTTTTTTTCTTAGTTGGTATTGAGGTTGATTGTCATATACTTGGCCGTAAGGTCTGCAGGTTTGAATTACCTTAAAGACCAGATGCCTCGGCAATTGCCTTTGGTAGTGAGCAAATTCAAAATTATGTATGTAACGCCAATAGAAATCCAACTGGAAATTTTCTCTTGAAACAATATATCAGTTTTTAAACAAGTGAAGAGCTTTCTATTGAAGGTCAGAACGGTGGGGGGTCGTGGAGTGCCCTATGCCTCACAATATACTCTCAAAACCAAATTCATTTCACCATAGTTACCATAAAAAAAAAGATGGCCTCTCATCGCCAATTTTTTCTTGTCTGACGAAAATTCCACATACAACGAATAACAAACATATCATTTAACTAAAAGAAACAGTCCATCAGAATTCAAAACAGCGATTAAGTGGAGTGTAGTAATCCTACACATTAGTAAAAAGTCATGATATATTCATCCACCTAGTGTATAGTCCCAACGTCATCTGCCACCAAATAAAAATATTCCCACGACGGATAACAGGGTATTAGTCTGATTTAATGGCAGACATGTTTTTTTATGTTTTATTTGCATTAGTATCAATTTTTTCCCCCAATTTAGGTTTTTTGATATTTGATGAACATTTTTTAAGATTTATATGGACCTGTTCATATATATTTTTTGGCGGAAACAAAATTTTTTCATCAAAATTTTCTGGCAATTCAATACAGACAATGTTTGATTTTGGTTTAGAGGTTGTAATTCTTTTTTCTTAATCTCCAACCAAACAGGAAAGGTGTACTTTTTTGAGCATTTTTTATCTCATCATCCAAAGATTTAAATTTTGACAGAAATGCCAGAAAATTTCTCGCTAAAATGAAAGCCCGTCTGCCTCATAAAAATATCAAAATACATCAGTGACCATGTCAAAATACATCAGTGGCCTGTCAAAATACATCAGTGGCCTGTCAAAATACATCAGTGACCTGTCAAAATACATCAGTGACCTGTCAAAATACATCATTGACCTGTCAAAATACATCAGTGGCCATGTCAAAATACATCAGTGGCCTGTCAAAATACATCAGTGACCTGTCAAAATACATCAGTGGCCCTGTCAAAATTAATTATTTGCCATGTCCAATTTTATCTTTTCAAATTAACAACGAAAGACTCCATTTGAATCCTTTTTTTTCTTTTTATGAAATACAATTGAATTATAATCCCTAAATATAAAATTCAAAAAATGATGAGTCACCTTAACCCTTAGACCCACGTGAGGGGTTAATTCATGCCCTTAAGGATAAACACACAGTGAAAGCAAAAGGGTTAAACCATGTGACTGTCACCATTTCTCTAACTAGTTTTCCATCAACTCTACAATTACCAAGAAACGTGGCTGACATTTTTAGACTTTGTATTCAATCTATCATAAAAAATTGAATTATGACAAATGACAACCTTTGACCTCGGTTTCGAACTTTGACCTCTCTCAAGTTACATTATATTGCGAAATGAGCAAAGTGCACTATAGATTATATTCATTGAAACAACATTTCATTTCCTTCTTATGATTTAAAGTGAATTTATTTCGTTTTTTGTGTAGAAGGAAATGAAATGAATTCAATAATTCTTCCCTGAAATCCTGAAATGCTGGGTTGGAACACTGTCTTTTGTGGCAGTGGATGGCTCAGTTGGTAGCAAGTTGGAGTGTCGTCTGCTTGGACCAGTATATGATCACTGGCAGGATCAACCACATAGCCTTCCTTTATCTCGGAGAAACCACAAGAAGTGCTCCACAGAGTTTATCGATTGGGGAACCCCATCTTTAAAACCCTGAGTTTTACTATTAGGAACCTCATCTTTAAAGACCTTACTTTTACCATTAGGGACCTTATCTTTAAAACCCTGAGTTTTACCAATAAGGACCTTATCTTTAAAGACCTTACTTTTACCATTAGGGACCTTATCTTTAAAACCCTGAGTTTTACCAATAAGGACCTTATCTTTAAAACCCTGAGTTTTACCATTAGGGACCTCATCTTTAAAGACCTGAATTCTACCAATAAAGGAACCTGATCTTTAAGGACCTAAATTTTACCCATTAGAGAAGATCTTATTATTACCAACTGGGGAAACCCATCTTTAAGGACCTTATCTTTTACCAAGAAGCTAATGTTTCCACTTAATCAATGTTTTGCTTCAAAGACTACTTCAATCGATTCCTATTTAAGTACAATTTAATAATCAATACCAGTTTATGGAAGGCTAATTGGTGCACAATTTAGCATTTCATACGGAAGACAAAATAGGCCAAAATAACAACAATCTGACGGAAGAATTAGCTTAGTATGATTTTAGAGTGTCAGTCATCTGATTGGTCAATCACTTAAATTAATTTTAATCTAGCTTTATTATCCAATCAAATTACTGTATTGGATTAACTGATTGACCAATCAGATGACAGGAATTCTAAAATCAAAAAGTCAAGTTTCCCAGATTAAGGCTCCATTTTTATTTTCAAACGCGGAAAAAATTCTGGACACACATGGATTTGAAGGCTCAAATTTCGACGGTGAGCTGTGAACACTATTACTGATTAGTGTATCTAAATTCAAGTTTCTGAGAATAAAGTATGATTGGTTAAAAAAATGGCGCACCTGTCCCTTTAAACATCAAGTCATAAAAAAACCATTTGGACATTTGTAAAAATTACGCTGTTTCATTTTATGATCATGTCTACAATAATGGGCCATATTAAAGTAGGATCAAAAAGCAATCAGACCATTTCATCGGAAATAACAAACCTATCGTGTTGGTTCCATTAGAATAATTGCCGTGTTAGAAGAACACGATTTAGAACAATAATAAACACGACTGAATCAAAAACAACTGTCATAAAAAAAGACCTCAATTTTAAGTGAGTTTTTTCCTAGGTCTAAAAAGAAGTTTGGATTGGTGGAGCTTTTCTGTTGAATTGTTTAAATGGGTACAGATAATCCAGGAAAGATCAATGCTAAGAGGTTTGGTCAAGGATCAGCTGGTAGACAGGATCCTCATTATTCCAGTCAACCCAGCTGTAAATGGGTACAGATAATCTGGGAAAGATCAATGCTAAGAGGTTTGGTCAAGGATCAGCTGGTAGACAGGATCCTCATTATTCCAGTCAACCCAGCTGTAAATGGGTACAGATAATCTGGGAAAGATCAATGTCAAGAGAAGTGGTCTAGGATAAAGGAACCTGCCCAACAACCCTCGGAACAAACTGGCCACAAAACATCATTACAAAAACATCTTTAAAATTTCGACAGAAATTGAAACAAAGCAGAAACTAAGGAGGCAATCAAAAAGTGATTTAAAATGGTTGTGAAATGGTGAAACCGTTGTTATGTTGCACTCGAATCACTCAGAAAATAATTACACTTTTCACCAGAATCATTTCAATTGTCAGTTACAATTATAGAAACAGTTTCAATTGAAATGTATTTCGCTAATTTTCACAAGCATGTATCTTGAATCAAGTAGCATATCAGTTAAAAGCTCGGTGAAAATTTGAGCTTTTGAGCTTCATCTAAAGCTTAAGCTTAAGCAAACTAAGAGATAAAGTCAAAATTAATTCAAACTATCCATATCTCTTTTCACAATGAACATTCAACTTCAGGCTTGCTTACAATCAATGATTTCCAAAATGGAGACTTGCTTGCTTGCATAAGTCATGGCTGCCAAAAATATCGTTCAAATTAACCGACAACAAAACAAGTCCAACTTTGCGATAAATTTATAAGTATATCATCATCAGACGTATAATCACAATAAAATCAGAAATAGATCCAGAATGAGGCTTGCACCTGTCCCACTTCTGCTGGAATTTTATCTTTTTTCGATGGCTGTTTTATTGAATCTGGCAGACGCTTCATTTTCATCAGCGTTACTGTGTCAAGGTCATTTCTGTTTTTCTTGATTTGTTTTGATTGATTAGTCATAAAAAAACTCAGCAAATTTTTCATTTTTGATTGGCTAATTTTCAAAAGACATTAAATTTGATTGGTTAATTCATATCAAAACCGCAGCAAATTATGATCTTTTGATTGGCTAAATACTTTAAATGTTTAATTGTTAAAACCGCAGCAAATGTTTCTCTCTTGATTGGATGAGATTCAAAAATCTCCAACAAAAAAGTTTTGAAATTCCAAAAACCCACATTACACTTCACCACTTAAATCATAACGGAAGCATCTGCGAACAAATTAATTTCTTAGCCTCGATTTCACCCTAAGATTAGAGATCAGAATCAGAAATTAGCGGCAAGGGTCAAGGGTTAATTGGTGAGGTAAGATAATTTGGAAGATCAACGATAAGATGTGCAGGTTGCCGTCTGTCAGTTGTTGTTGGGTGATGATTCCCATCAGCCACCTGGTAACCAAATTTTTATGCCCGTAATGCACTTGAATGTAGTTCCGTTTTTTGGAAATTTGAGACCATTATCTAAGTAATGAAATGCTTGTTTTGCTATGTGGACTTTTCTGAAAGGGATGTAAAGTTGACAAACTCATTCAGAAAGTGTCGTTCGTGACTCCAACTCCAGCAATTATTGCAGTTAAGTGCAGATGACCCAAAATGCACCTGGAATCAATCATCCTTCAGCGGGCAAAAAAGCCAAACACATCAAAATACCATCAGGCAGACGCAAACTTCAAGCCAAAAAAAAGAGCTTTAAAAAAGTGCAAGGTTCAATGACATCATTATTAAGTTTAAATTTTGACACGTTTTTCATTTATAAAACTGCCTCATTAGAATTTTACGTGTATTTGCAGTATAGATTTTGTTGGTGGGGGAATTTCTCGCTTTATTTGGACAGCGATCTCATCTTTTGTTACCATCAATATTTCCCCAAACAAGCCGACTCAATCCCAGGGGAAAAGACACGCAGAGCAGCCATTTCTTTTTAATTCAGTTGATAAATTTTTTGAGTTTTTTAAGTGGCCATATTAAAAAAAAATATGGGCATTAAAACAGTTCAATTTAAGCTGAAAATTTGTGAAATAATTAATTTAAATTTTGTTCAAATGATGAAGTTATAATTTGTTCAAATGATGGATTATACTTTGTTCAAATGATGAAGTTATAATTTGTTCAAATGATGAAGTTATAATTTGTTCAAATGATGGATTATAATTTGTTCAAATGATGAACTGAAATTTGTTCAAATGATGAATCATAATTTGTTCAAATGATGAAGTTATAATTTCTTCAAATGATTAATTATAATTTCTTCAAATGATTAATTATACTTTGTTCAAATGATGAAGTTATAATTTGTTCAAATGATGAATTATAATTTGTTCAAATGATGGAAAATAATTTGTTCAAATGATTAATTATAATTTGTTCAAATGATGAAGTTATAATTTGTTCAAATGATGAATTATAATTTGTTCAAATGGTGAATTATACTTTGTTCAAATGATGAAGTTATAATTTGTTCAAATGATGGATTATAATTTGTTCAAATGATGAACTGAGATTTGTTCAAATGATGAACTAAAATTTGTTCAAATGATGAATTATAATTTGTTCAAATGATGGATTATAATTTGTTCAAATGATGGATTATAATTTGTTCAAATGATGAAGTTATAATTTGTTCAAATGATGAAGTTATAATTTGTTCAAATGATGAAGTTATAATTTGTTCAAATGATGAAGTTATAATTTGTTAAAATGATTAATTATAATTTGTTCAAATGATGAAGTTATAATTTGTTCAAAGGATTAATTATAATTTGTTCAAATGATGAATTATAATTTGTTCAAAAGATGAACTGTATTTTTCCAGTCAGAAAAAGATTTTTTTTTTAAATTTGCCTACTTTTTTCGTAAATAAAACCCGATTTTTTTCAACGCACATATAATTCTCGAATCTTCACATGTTGCTAAGCAACTTAAATTTATTCCATTTTTATTGAATAATCTTTCGATTGACATAAAATAAAACTGTAAACAAAATTTCTGTCATTGGATAGCAAAAATCTGACAAATCGGCAAATACAAGGAAACTTAATATGGGAATTAAAAGCTTTTTCTAGTCTCTCTGTGTTTAAACAGAACAGCAAATAAGAAATATGCATAAAATGAAATCAGTCAACCCAGCTGTAAATGGGTACAGATAATCCTGGGAAAGATCAATACCAAGAGGTTTGGTCAAAGATCAGCTGGTAGAAAGGATCCTTATTATTCCAGTCAACCCAGCTGTAAATGGGTACAGATAATCCAGGAAAGATCAATACCAAGAGGTTTGGTCAAGGATCAGCTGGTAGAAAGGATCTTCATTATTCCAGTCAACCCAGCTGTAAATGGGTACAGATAATCTGGGAAAGATCAATGCCAATTCCCAGCCTATTGGAAACTAATGGGCATAGGCATGGAAAGCCCGTGACTTCACCATATTGGAGACTAATGGGCAAAGGCATGGAAAACCCATGACTCCACTATATTGGAGACTAATGGGCTTGGAGAAAAGCATGGAAAGCCCATGATTTCCCAGCCAATTGTAAACTAATGGGCAAAGGCATGGAAGGCCCAAGACACCAACATATTGGAAACTAATGGGCAAAGGTACATGGGAAGCCCATGACTTCTCTAATGGGCTTATGGGCATGAATGTTAATGATTATTGAATATTCACAGTTCAAACCAGTGTATATACCTATCACACCAACAAATCCACAAAAAAAACTCAAACCGGTTTCTACTATCCAGTGCAAAAAGGTTAAATCAGAGTTAGTACAATATACACCACATATCTACACAACCCAAACCAGTTTCACAAACCAGGGTCATGTCTATAGTCAATTCCTATTCCAGTTTACTCAACCTAAACTGGTTTGTTAAACCAAATCTAACCAAAATCAGAATGATCATTCGAAGTCAATTTTTTAAGCAAGAGCAAAAATTGTCATTTATTTTGGAAATTGGAAACACTATGGAAATATTGAAAACTTTTTGGAAATTGGAGACATTTGGCAATTTAAAATTTTGAAATATTTGATATGCTTATAAGGACTTAACGCTTTTTTTGAAAAAAAAAAGAAAAACACATAAATAAACACAAGTACCATAACCAAGATAAAAATAAACACACAAAAAACACATTAAAAATATAAAAGATATTCCACTGCACGCTGCGCAAGCAAAAATTAAACACAAAAAAAATCATTTTTTCACAAAAAAACACAAAAACTTATGTTCACCTAAGAATGGGTATCCATGGCAACTGTGTTTGAGATTCTGTAGTCATGAATCTACATTTGGCGACCATTTTGTTTTTTTTCTCGTTCCTGCTTGGCTTCAGCTACACCTCAAAAAGGACAAAATGTTATCAATCATGGGATTCGTGGCAAAAAATTTGAGGGAATCGTTGGCTAGATTTTCATTATTGTTGACCTTTATAAGCAGGTCTGGGCGATTTTCAAAGTGGTCTCAATATACAGGTTTTACTGTAAGAAAAGATAAGTATTAATTTTTGCTTGTGCAGCAGATGCAATGCTTTACATATAACAAACAGACGACAAGGAACAGCAGAGGGTCGTGAAAATTTCAGGAGCATTCAAAATAATGTCCATTTGACATAACATGGAAAAAGTGTCTAGTTGGTTGGATGGGATAATAAACTGAGGCCCTGTGTGCTACAGATCCCTTGACAGTTGGAAATTGAAAAAAGAGTAGACCAATACCATTGTCTTGGCAAAATTTCCCTCATTGTACACTGCATGACATTGCCTGTCTTCATTAGCCCATAAGGTGTAGAAAAGTAGGATGTAAAACTCCATTCATTTCATTTCACTTAAGTGTTACAGTAGCAAAGAGAGATACCATCACGGACTAAGTATATCAAAGTTAAGAGCTAGAAATTTGATATTTCACATCTGGTTCACCATAACGGGGGTTACAACTCCAACAAAAGATAGACAAATAAAACTGAGAAGATGGAACTCTTCTGATATGAAGGAAAGAAAAACAGTCAAGTCACTGGGTGTGTTTTTATTAATAATAAGTCAAAAAGTAGACATTTTTGGGATGGAGTCATATGGTATTTCAAATTTGGACATGGATATTTTGGGGAAATTTTTTTAAAAATTTTGATTTTGAATTTGGTAAGGTTCTAAGACTTGCAGAGATTCCAAAGAGATTTTTTTCAGCCTGTTTATTTGTTCCAGGAACACTGATAACTTTTATTTGTAAAATTCGTGCCAAATGATTTGCAATGATGCCACAATTTGGTCAAGATTTTTGGAATTGCAGGAACCACAAATTTCAGACGTAAATTCGGAATGGTGCTAATAACAAAAATGTTCCTGATACACATAAAAAAGCTAAAAAAAACCATTAAATCCCCATGAGGTTTACATTTGATCAAATTATGACATCACAATTGCAAATACCATTTAACTTTGGCATCTTTTTAGAATTACAGGAACCACAGAAAAGTTTGACTGAGTTTTATAACATATTTTGGCGTTAAGAAGAGATCACTAAGATTCTTGGCAAGCCCAACTATCTCAGAGCTCTGACGTCACAGGGACCCGTGTTTATTTTCAATGGAAATACCAAAGGGCACTGATCAGATGTCTGAATATCAGACAAGATGATCTATCAAATAGTCTTGGAATCATGAACACTTGCAGGAATTTATCTTTGGTATTTCTTGGTTCCAAGATACGGTTTCAAATTTGGATAGAAGTGGGTGGCACAGTCGAAAGCTGGCATTGGAATGAGATTAAATGACATTTGGGACAAACTGACATTTGAGTGAAAGCTGACATTGGGATGAAAGCTGACATTTGATTGACATTGAGCTGACATTGGGATTAAAGCTGACATTTGGATGTGCTGACAATGGGCTGAAAACTGACATTTAGATGTGCTGACATTTGAGTGACATTGAGCTGACATTGGGATTAAAACTGACATTAGATTTTGAATTAACATTGGGCTGAAAACTGACATTTAGATGTGCTGACATTTGAGTGACATTGAGCTGACATTGGGATTAAAACTGACATTAGATTTTGAATTAATGGGCTGAAAACTGACATTTGGATATGCTGACATTTGGGACAAATTGACATCACATCGAGAGACACTGAGTCAACTCACACAAGCACTGACTGTGACATCCAAGAGAGGGTTAATGCCTGGTACCATAGAGCTGGCAGCACAAACCAAGCTTACCATGAGAGCATTAACCAGAGAGAAGTCAACACAATTCAGAAAAATCTAAAATTCACTACAACCTAATCTTAAAAATCCATAACAAACTTTTACACCCTACTATGACCTTCACCTTATCTCCAACCTTCCTGCTTCCGTCTGCTAAACTACGCATTTATAACCTTTGAAATTATCATCGCAACATTTTCTTAGAGCGTCTTATGTTTGTCTGACTTTTGTGAAAGGAGCATGTGCCATCTTGAATTTCCCAGAATGTAACTCAGAGGCCAAAATTTACAAGGTATCAGATAGAACAAAGAAAAATTCGGCCATTTGTTTAGAACTTTAAAGGTTAGAGAGGAAGGAATACTTGATTTTAAAAGGTCATTGATTGTATACAGTAGCAATGTACAGATAGGCATTAAAGGCATAGTTTGTCCTAATATTTTCTTGGATTTTTTGGGATTTAATTTCTTCCAAAATGGAGCCATTTTGATCAACTTAAAAAATTTTGCTATTCGAAAACAGATAAGCATTAAAGGATTAGTTTCTCCCAATTTTTCTCGATTTAATTTATTTAAAAATGGTGAAACAATGGTAGCTTTTAGTAGCTCATACAAATAAGTATTAAAGGCATAGTTCCTTGTTACAATTTTTCAATTTTCTTCAAAAAATTTCTGGATTTAATTTGCTTGAAAAATGGGAAGTTCGTAAGTATTTGGATTCAATTTGCTTAAAAATTCTGATTTAGAGAGGTACTGGCATTTCAATTTAGTAAATAAATTTTCAGGGAAGTCTCTCTTTAAATCTGGATTAACCAAGTTTGGTTCCAATTAATTGGCAACTGCCAAATTATATTTTTTAAAAAAAGGGCTTAAGTAAAACATATTTATAAAATTAAACTATTTTAAAGGTCTAGTTTGGTTTTTATGAAAATGAAAACTATCCTTAAATTTTCAACATAAAAATATTTATCAAACAACAGTCCAGTTTGAAATTTTCAGAAACCAAACTATTACTTGAAACATAACTATTAATAGAATAGCATTAAAACAGTACTCACCCATATTGGCTAGGTAAAATAGGCAATCCAGATTTCAAAGCAAATGGGAAGGCAGCTGAAATAGAAGGACAAATAAAATTAAAGGCAATGTTTGAGTTAAAATAATCAAAAATTATATTGGAATTTTTTTTAAATAATAAAACTAATAAAATGTGGCTATGATGTTAATAACAAAAATTCCAAAAATTATTCTGCTCTTTTTAATGAGTATAGCTTTAATAAAATTGATACAAAATTTGTGCTAAAAATATGTTGGGGGTTTTCTTTTTAATTTGAGTATAGCTTTAAAAAAATTCATAACAATTTGTGATAATATTATGCTATATTTTTTGATGCAATTTCAAAGGTAAAAAAAATTTGGATTTTCTTTTTAATGCTAAGTATAGCTTTAATAGAATTCAAAAAAAATTTGCTGCTAAAAATATGTTGGGTTTTCTTTTTGAATATGAGTATAGCTTTAATAAGTCCAGACAAAAATGTGTTTTGAGTTAAGTGAAGATGATTAAGACCATATTTTTGCTGAGAAAATATATACAAATTATATACAATAATCAAAATAAACAGGGATAAATACGATAGCTTTTTCAAATAAATATGACGTGTGTGTAAATAATCGTAAAACACCTGATGCCATTTGCCCAAAATATCAACTCAAAGACAAAGTTTTTATATCCTAGAGTTTTATATCCTACTGTTCTGTATCTTATTGAACTAATGAAATGAAATGGAGTTTTATATTCTACTGTTCTGTATCTTATTGGACTAATGAAATGAAATGGAGTTTTATATCCTACTGTTCTGTATCTTATTGGACTAATGAAATGAAATAGAGTTTTATATCCTACTGTTCTGTATCTTATTGAGCTAATGAAATGAAATGGAGTTTTATATCCTACTGTTCTGTATCTTATTGAGCTAATGAAATGAAATAGAGTTTTATATCCTACTGTTCTGTATCTTATTGAACTAATGAAATGAAATGGAGTTTTATATCCTACTGTTCTGTATCTTATTGAACTAATGAAATGAAATGAAGTTTTATATCTTACTGTTCTGTATCTTATTGAACTAATGAAATGAAATAGAGTTTTATATTCTACTGTTCTGTATCTTATTGAACTAATGAAATGAAATAGAGTTTTATATTCTACTGTTCTGTATCTTATTGAGCTAATGAAATGAAATAGAGTTTTATATCCTACTGTTCTGTATCTTATTGGACTAATGAAATGAAGTTTTATATTCTACTGTTCTGTATCTTATTGAACTAATGAAATGAAATAGAGTTTTATATCCTACTGTTCTGTATCTTATTGGACTAATGAAATGAAGTTTTATATCGCACTATTCTTGCAATAATGAACTTTAAAACAAGTTCAACTTATCAACAAGTACAACTTGTTTAAAAAAAACCAATATTAAATCGAAAACGAGATTAATTACTTAGATTAAAAACATGACGTCAACCAAACCTCGAATTTGCAAATTCAAACAAGCTTTTCACAATTTATGTCATTTTAATCCATAGCCTCAAAGCTTTATTACATAAATGATCAAATTAAGCCTTCAACGAGGAGATTAACTTGGGTTGAACTTGTTTCAATGTCGAAAGATTTATTGTGTGTTTTTTAACACAAATGAATTGATAAAAGTAAAGTTAATTCTTTTGACTGCATAAAAGTCAAATTTGTGTACATAAAAAATTTCTGGTTTTTTTTTTGGTTTGATTTATGTTATTGAAACGAATTCAAATATTTTTTTGCGTAAGAAATAACAAAAAATATCAATATTTGAAAATTTCGTTAATAGCTATATATATTTTTAGCTGAGAAAAAATTTTGCTTTTGCAAAATCTGTTTTAGGACCGAACATGGTGTGCTTATATTTTGTTTTGCAAGCTAAAAAGAAACAGCTAATGTAGAAATATATATCGAAAATCCAAATCCAATTCTAGACACAACTTGATATCCCATCAAAATTGACCAAACAAAATAATCAAATTGATTTAAACAAGTAAATTAATACACCACAAATAACAATCATGGCCAATTTAGTGTCAAAGGATTACGTTTTATGGCGACCATTTACACGAGTGATTAGGCAGTCCCTATTTTCCTACTCTGAAATCCAATCAATCCCAACGTGTTTTTATGGTTTTCACAGAAAGGAGAGCTAACCATTGGCGTGTTGAAGTAGCCATAAAATCTCATTTGGTCAGTCGTAAAATGGTCATTGAAAAGTCGTAAAATGAAAGATCAGATAATATGGAAAAGAAATGAAGTGTAAACACCCAACACCTGCTAGCAGACGTCACGAACATAATTAACTCTTTTTGTGAAGAGTTTAAGAGCGAGACATGTAATGAAAAGTTTTGGAGTTTTACATCCTACTTTTCTGCTTGCTTTGGTTAAATAAAGTGAGACAAATGCAAGCAGACTTCACCGATATAATTAACTCTTTTATTGAAGAGCTGAAGAGCGAGACTAAGATATTTGGAGTAATGATTGTGGGCAATCCGGGAAATATCGTGCTAAGTTAGGAGGTCTACTCCATTTCATATAAATTTGTTTGGTGCTTTTAAATCTTTTCTGCATCCTTCAGGTAAATGGCAGTGTACAATGAGGGAAATTTTGATCAAGATAGCAACAGACATAAGCCGATTCCAAACCAAGGCCCAGTATTTTACTTGCCTTGCACATTAAAGATCTTTTGAAAGTTTTCTGTCAGATACATACGTACATACATCCTACTTTCCTGCTTGAAATGCTTGCAGTGTACAATGAGGAGCCCTTCCCGTTTCTGATTCCAAACCACAGCCTACTAACCCAGCATCTACAAGCTGTGCACTGTTAAAAATTCTATCGAAAGTTTTGTGTGTCAAATCAATAAAACAAGCTAGGAGAAATCAAGACTCTTCAAATGGTGTAGAATGAAGTTAATATCAGTCTAACCTTGGCATGTGTCAGACTAAACGCTTCCCTAGTCATAATTTAGTACTTGAATACAAATCAACCTCCATGATTAGAGAGTTACACGCATAGTCAATTCTGATTCAAACAAAGCACCGAAAATTAGGATATCTTCGATCTTTTTATTTTTGATTTTTGAAAATGAGTTTTACATCCGACTTTTCTGCACCATTTTGTGCTAATGAAGCTCGGAAACACCATGCAGTGTGCAATGAGGGAAATTTTGTCAAGGCAGTTGAACTCGCCTACTCTTATATGATCTCCAACTGTCGAGGGCTATGTGATTTACAATATCATCTCTAAATAGTACAAAAGTGCGCATGTCATTTCTAAATTGACGTCATTAACTTACGCATAGTTATAAAGTCAATGTTATTTATACAACGATTGTACGCATATATCTCAATTCAAAAGTTATTACACTGTGACTTATTGAAAGGAACCTCATAAATATACCATCAAATAGTTAATAATGTATTCGAAGG